TGTTTTTTTTGCGTCGTGAGAATATTGAGTAAAATAGCTCACTTGTCATGGTGTTATTTAACTATATCATGTTATGAATAAACTAAACATTTTGAATTTTTACCTCAGTGTGTTTCTTTCTCAGTAAGTTAATGAGTGCTGTCACGCTCATTTGTTCTGAAGTCTCGAGACAAACAGAGTGAGCTTCAGCGCGACCTTGTATTCTGTATTCTGCTAACTTACTGCAATTCTCTCTGATGACGCAGTAACTTACCGCGGGGAAGAAAAAATCTTCGGTCTGTCTAATGATTGTAAACAGTCATTAGATCCGTCATACTGAAGATATTTTAGCGGTAATGTGACCAAAAATAATTAAGACCCATCGAATCCGAATTTAAGACATTTTAAGGCCTTATTTTACAAAAACGTTATTTAAGACATTTTAAGACTTTTTAAGGACCCGCGGACACCCTGTAAAGAAATAAAAGTCACTATGTCTTGGAATGCCTGAGAGTGAGTAATTTGCATCAAATTTTCATTTTTCATTGAACTATCCCTTTAAAAATAAACGGCATTTTTCATCGTCCTTGCATGCAGAAAGACAAGTTTCAGCACTTACTCGTGGTGGTAGATATAACTGACTATGACTGACAGCAGGCAGAGCACCAGGATGATGGCGGTGGCGTAGATAACAGGGTGAAGAGGTTCGAAGCTGTATGTGTCGTTCCCGGTCCTGTTCAGATCCTGTTAGACAAGTGTATATCAGCAGATTATATTTGCAAATGCATTTCAACAACCAATAATTCCGATTTTTCTGCTTGTTCTAGAAAGGCGGGTGTTGAGGATGTGTGAAAAGATCTAATTACAAACAGGTCTAAAGTCAAAGGCTCACGGTACACGTCAACCATGAAGGAAAATCTGAAGAAAATTGCACAGCAGATCAATCCAGCACTAAAAAAACCCTTGAAATAACAGGTAATTACATGACAAGAGGATGATGGGAACATTGGAATCCATTACCAATCCTGCACATCACTTCTGGACGGTATTAGAGTCCCACATCACAAACAGTATTCCACACATGGACTCTATCATGTAATGCATTTATATTAGGGCTGTGCGATATTGAAGAAAAATGCGATATGCGATAACTCATTAAATAATGCGATATTCGATATACCTAATTTATATATACAGTAAATACTGGTCAGCAGTGTTATTTTAGTATTACTTATACTATTATAGTATTTATTCATATTTTGAATTCAGGGCTCCAGACTGCAACCATTTTTTTGACAAAATTGTTGTTGCCCATCTCATAAGCGCTGCCATTTCTGTTGCATATGAGAGACATCAAACAGCAAACGAAACAAAAGCGTAATGAAAACGTACTACTCGTTTGAGCTGCGCAGCCCGGACTGTTTATCAGCTCGGACCAATGATTGAACACAGTGCGAGCTAGCAAACTGGTCCGAGCTCAGAACAGGTTTACTCAGGAACCAGTGTTGATCTCGCGACACTGTTACAGAACAACGCTGCGAGATCCAGAGAGAAGCATTTGAATTCGCCGCAAAATGAATAAGGTCGCTGCGAGATCTAGAGAATTCTCTGTTATAAACTGATCAAACAGCGCTGACATAGAAAACCAGAAGTAGTAACGCTAACTGTAACCATGGTTTTGTGAAAGAAAGAGTTGAATGTCATTACATTATTCATTTCAGGGTTTGTATAACCTTTTGAAAGAGAAATTCAAGCAGGCTTTCAAGTAGGGATGCACCAATACCACCTTTTCCAGTACTCGCACAATACCGATACTTTTATTTTTGGTACTTGCCGATACCGAGTGCCAATACTGATATTTTTATTGCATTTGTAAATTTTTTAAATATTGGGTACAGGACAAAATTGTTGTTGCCCATCTCATAAGCGCTGCCATTTCTGTTGCATATGAGAGACATCAAACAGCAAACGAAACAAAAGCGTAATGAAAACGTACTACTCGTTTGAGCTGCGCAGCCCGGACTGTTTATCAGCTCGGACCAATGATTGAACACAGTGCGAGCTAGCAAACTGGTCCGAGCTCAGAACAGGTTTACTCAGGAACCAGTGTTGATCTCGCGACACTGTTTCTGCACAGCGCTGCGAGATCCAGTGAGAAGCATTTGAATTCCGCACAGAATTCTCTGTTATAAACAGATCAAACAGCGCTGACGTATGTCAGAAAACCAGAAATAGTAAAGTTAACTACGGTGTTGTGGCAGAAGGAGTCGAATGTTTTTACATTATTGATTTCAGGGTTTGTACAACCTTTTGAGAGAGAAATTCAAGCACTTTTCAGTGAATTTCAAGTATTTCACACAAATATTTACAGCATTTTAAAGCTCTAAAAATTATCCAATTTAAATATTATTTTTTAACGGGATGATCAAAATATACTTTGTGGTAAACAAACACTTATGTAAAAAAAAAAAAAAAAGACATCAAATTACCACTATACCACTATAACCAGTTGATGGCAGCAGAGGAGCACTTATTGGCTTACAAGTCATTCATTTCCACTTTTTGCTTTATATTTTGAAATTATAAAATAACTATTATAAAATATATAACACTATAGAATAGGGGTGTAACAGTACACGTATTCGTACCGAACCGTTTCGGTACATATTCTGTTACACCAAATACACAAAATAATGATCTTTAAAAAAGCATCATATGACCCCTTTAACACTGATGGTTCCTCGAAGAACCTTTAACATCCATGGAACCTTAGAGGTTCTTTCTAGTGGAAAAGTTTTCTTAGATTATTAATATGTTCTTCAAACTAAGAAAAAATGGCTCTTTTAAGAACTGTTCACTGAAAGGTTCTTTGGGGAGCCAGAAATGGTTCTTCTGTGGCAACACTGCGAAAAACCCCTTTTCAAACCATTGCTTTTAAGTAGGGCTGCATGATAAATCGCTTGCGATATTTAACGTGCATCTAGTCAGAAAGCCGGTTCTGTAATCAGCGGTAAATCTCCATCACGTGCGTGCTTTCACATTGAGCAGCATTAACTACACAGAGCCGTTGTTCACTGACGAGCTGCGCAAAACCACGTTCATATTCGCGCGATTTTTTGCGCAGCTCATCAGTGAACAACGGCTCTGTGTAGTTAATGCTGCTCAATGTGAAAGCCCGCAGGTGATGGAGATTTACCGCTGATTACAGAACCGGCTTTACTGATAAGACGCGCGTTAAATATTGCATGCATTTTATCGTGCAGCCCTACTTTTAAGAGTTCATCGCTGATTAGAAGTCAACTAAACGTTCAGTTAGGATGTACACACATTAAATCCATGTGCATCACTTGTATTGAGAGACAATATACATTGTGCCAATAGTTCGGTGGCAGATCCTGGACAGTTGGTCTACTTTCACATCAGATTGTCCTTCTCTCTGCAGCTTTTTCATGGGATTGTAATTGTTTTGTGCTCTGCTTAGCCCTCTCGTTGAAATCAATCAGTTATAGCGGGGAAGTTTTTCCTAGGAGCTCCCTGTGCTGTATTTTGCCGCCCCCTCACACTTCAGCTGCTCTCTAGCAGCATTATTGCTCTGTTTATGACACGATGCCTCTGTACCTGCTTGAAGCCAAAATGGGGGTGGGATGGATTATAATAGTGCTGCTGTACAGTGAAGATCAAATCACAAAAAAAAAACAAAATACATTTTCAAAGTTGTAAAAAAACAAAACAAAGATTACTGGAGTATGTTTACCAGAAAATACCATTTCAACTCTTTCTACTTGAAAATGTCACGTTTAATTCAATGTGTTACTTGTCATTTCTTTGTAATTATTTATGAAATTTACTAGCAATTTCCGAGTATAAAAAAAAGTATATACAACTTTTTTTTTTTTATGCAATTTTAACCCGGTGCGACTTATGTTTTCTGGAAAATACAGTATTTGCGGTAGCACTTTTTTGTTTTATTTGAAAACTTAAAAGGCAGAATTAAACTTTTATCACCCATGGTAACAGTTATACCTCTGTTATACAGAGGTAACAGTTATACTACACTAATGTAGTTTTTTTTTTATATTTTGAATTAGAATTTACTAAATTTTCAGTCTTCAGTTTTAGTTAAAGTTTATATATATATATATATATATATATATTGGTCTATATATTTTTTATGGTAACGCTTTACAATAAGGTCCATTAGCTAACATTAATTAATGCATTAATTAACATTAACAATAAGCAATGCATTTGTTACGGTATTTATTAATTTTTTTATTTCAAATAGTTAATAGTGAGAATTGGTCCCTAAACTAATGTGTTGCCATTTTTTTATTATTATTATTTCATTCTTTTATTTGCCTTGTTAACTAGCTGATATAAAACCATTTTCATTTTGATTGTTTATTTTATTTTAAGCAGTCGTAGTTTTAGTTAACTATAATAACCCTGCTCTGTACAACCAAGCCATGTGGCATAAGCATAACAGTAAGTATAACTGAAGTGCATGATATGTCTGTATCTTTGACTATTGTATTTTATTTTGCTTTCTATCCAGGTAGAAATATTGCATAACAGCAGCAATGAAGAGAGGGTTGTGTGGGTTGGAGTGCATGTCTGATCAGCAGTGTGTGTGTTCTCACCGATCTTTGTGAGGATCACAGGTGTGACCACACTCTTCCTCTTACTGCCGTCGCTCAGGAGGGTGGAGTTGCCCGTCGGAGGAAAGAGTTTGCCGTTGCGGAAGGCCAGCAGGTGTAGCTTATAGACGGCTTCTTCGGCCTGACCTGAGCTTCCCAGAGACGAGAAGAGCGACGGGGGAAGCTGTAGAGACGCCTCCACTACAGTGTTCTGCAGACATGGAGATGCAATAACGTTAGTGTCAGAACATGATGGATACAGTCCTGCTTCCACAGCTTTATTGGAGTTCTCGCTTTGAGGAAGCACTGGCCTTATAAGTTATGGCAAAACAACTGTATACGTGCAGGAAGTACCTGAGACGAAATGCTTACTTTGAGAGCCAGTGCAGACAGGTTGCTGGTCACGTTGCATTTGAAGCTGAGCTGGCGCTCCGGGTTGATGTCGGGGTCTCTGGGAGAAAAATGGGCCACGGGTGTGCGCTCCGGTGAGAGCTTCTGGAACAGAGTGCAGGTCATTCCATTGAAGCTGCTGGCCTTGATGGCATGAGCCTCCAGAGCAATGTTATGAGAGTTCTGGTGAAACAGATGAGAATAAAGAAGAATGGTTACCATCCCATACACACACTACTAAAGCACTGTGAACACAAGGTCACATTCAAACTACTCTATACAACCTACACCTTTTTTTGTTACTTTTATTCAGTGAGGACACATTAAATTGGTCAAAAGTGACAGTAAAGTAAAAAGTAAGTATCAAAGCATTCTGGAGGGTTTAGAAACAAAAGTGTCTAGCTTGTTTTAATTAAAATATTATTACATTTTTATTCAATTATTATTTTTGAAAAATGTTTCTATTTAAAGGAATTCATTGAAGATTTAAAAAAAAAAAAAACTTCTGGAATTCTGAGAATTCTGCCTGAAACTATATATATATATATAGTTTTTTGTTAATAGAAATAAAGCAGAAATGAAACAAAATATAAGTATTAGATAAAAAAATACATTTTGAAATGTTGCATTGCAATTAACTGAAATAAGCTTGTTTAAACTAAAACATAAAACAAAAACTGAAATACAATAAATTTAAACCATTTAGAAATATCGCTAAAACTAATAAAACTATTTAGAAATATTGAAAAAAATAATAATAAAAATGACCGAATCATATAAAATTAAACTTAAAGCTGAAAACTTAGGTAACACTTTATTTGAAGGTGTCCTTGTTACACATGTTACATGTACTTACTATTATAATAACAATTAATTATGCATAATCACATGCAAGTAACCCTAAGCCAGACCCTAATCCTAACCCTAACCATATAGTAAGTACATGTAGTTAATTAATACTACTCATTACTTAAATGTATAATTACACTGTAACAAGGACACCTTAAAATAAAGTATAACCAAAACTTTAAAATAAAAGCTATGAAAAAATTTTAATAAAATATAAATATTACTAAAATATCACTGAAAACATGAACAGACAATTTAAAACAGAGTAGTGTCAAAATGCACAAATGAACTGATTTTCTCGCAGTACTCACAGTAGAATAGGCCAGAGCCCCATTACTGATTCGGAGAACGGCAATTCTCTGCAGGCACTCGACGATACGTGAGCAAGCTCGCGCCTCCCTCTGAGCCATCCATAACACTCGCTCATCAGCCAGCATCAGATTACTGGAGATATCCACCATCACATCTCCCAGCTGAGAGAGGAAATGCAGTTAGAGACGATGCAACACATGCACACCCACCCCACAACACTGATGATCCCTCCAGGCCCACATTATACCCACAAACACACTGCATACTCATTCAGTGCAGTTACAAAACTGCATTCCTGAAATCAACTAAACCTGACATCGCACTCAGAAAAATGCTAATGAGCTAATGTTTTCAGACGATGCATGCACACCCACCCGCCCCACAACACCCAAGATCCCTCCAGGCCCACATTATACCCACAAACACACTGCATACTGATTCAGTGCACTCAAACCTCTGACTTTCTCACAACTGCATTCCTGAAATCAACAAAACCTGACATCACACTCAGAAAAATGTTAATGAGTTACTGCTTTTAGGAAGAACCGGGGATTCGTCCGGCATTCCCACACTAGAGTAACTGCAAATGATATCAGAGATCAATGCTGAAAACGCCCTTGTGAAAACGTGCCCTTGCAATATGTGAGATGTTGAATGATGGTACAGATCTCTGCGCAGGTGTTACATGATAACATTTCCCTTCAACACTGAGCGAAGTGCAACCCGATCCTGAAGAATAGGCTCTACGTTCCTCTGTGGCCCAGTGTCCAAATCCCTCCATTCTGATCCTATCTGCTCCTCTCATTACTGATGCAACTGTAAAAGCCTGTTTTGTTCTCCAGAGATGAGAAGAGTCACAAACCGAGGTGGCGAACAGTAACGTCGCTTTAAATGGGCAGTTCTCAACCTTTCTGACTCCAAGACGCTCCACTGTAACATTCAAAGGTCCTGTGATTAAGGTTTATAAAAGTTTATATTTAACTCAAGGTCCTTGAGCTAAAATAAATATTAGGCATTTTAAGTTAAGTTTAACATAACAGATTTTAGTATTCAACAGTGTTATTGTTAACTTAAACTAACACTATTTAAAATCATTTTCAGTAACTGAAATAAAGCTGAAATAAAACTATTATTAGAAGAAAAAAAAAAAGCATTTAATTCAATTAGATGCCAAGGCAACATTTCGTTTTTTTTTTAGTTTGTTGAAGTACTAAAAATAAAACCAAAACAGAATTAAATTAGCAACAAAAAAATATTATAAAATAATTATTAATATTTTAATATTAAATATTAAATAAATATTAGGCATTAAGGTTTTAATTTGAATTATTTTTCAAATCTAGAAATCACACTTTTAAAATTCTGAGAATTCTAAGACAATTAAAAAATTAACTGAAATAAAATAAAATATGATAATTTGATGAAAAACTTGATGAAATTTGATGAAAAACCATTTGAAATGAAAAATTCAAAATGCTGCATTGGTAATTAACTGAAATAAGTTTAAGCTAAAATTAAACTAAAACAACATTACTACATTTACAATCACTAAATTACTAAAATAAATTTCAATTAATAAAATTACACTATATTATATACTGTATCTATCTATATATATATATATATATATACAGTGGTCAATATGGGGTGCTGTGTGTACATTAATGAGGAAAAAAAATTAACTTAAATGATTTTAGCAAATGGCTGCAATATAACAAAGAGTGAAAAATTTAAGGGGGTCTGAATACTTTCCGTACCCACTGTATATATATGCTAATAAAAACTACAGTATTATATAATTATGACCAACTATATTCTCTTTTTTAAATTCTCAAAATTTTTAAATTCTCCTAAATATCCAGGTTTTCCAAGGAGGTCAATAAAATAACCTTGATTCTCTTGATTTTTGGCTTATTTTAATGGATGTTTTGTCATCTTGAGGCCCCCGCTGCTTTAAATGGCCTGGATCTGAGGCCTTCTGTGATTGGTCTCAGAATGATTTAAGTGTTTATGTAAGAGAAGCTGATCACAGATCAGTTAAAATGTTAGACTTTTGCGTTGCACAGAGAAAAAAAAACATTATTCAGAACAGACCCCATTATGACTCGACTTGATTTGACTCACCTCTTTATACTTCTCTGCAAACTTGCTGATTTTTTCAATCATCTCCGCCACAAATATCACATCCACCTTGTCAGAGAAGTTGGGCGCCTCTGCGGTGTAAGCCAACAGCTGCTGCGCCGTCTGAACCGCATTGGTCAGATTCAGAGGCATCTGACATACGAGGAAATAAATCAAAGTTAAGCAACAAATGAGAACAGACAGAGAAGAATCAAACACGTCTGACATAAACCACTAAAAAACTGCATGATAAGAATTACAAATATACAAAGTTACAGTTATCTACCTGATTGATGATATAAAGCACACGCGTGACGTCTTTCATATATTCACAGCGTGAGTAGTCGTCCTCTGCCCACTGTCCACTGCGGCCACATCGCCTCCACGCACGCAGCTCTTCCGCCGAACTGCCCGAGTAAATGCCAGCTCCGCTCACCTGCCGTTTACAGGGCAAGTATGCTGTAATCCCAGCCAGTGTCCGAGGCCATCTGCATACAGACACGTCAAACACGTTAATGCACAACAAAGGAGAACCAATTTGTCTGTGATGTTGCATGATAATAAATAGCCTTAAATGGGAATATACTTGCCTTAATTCAATCAAATTTGCAATAGGTTTTGAAAAAATAAGTCTAAAACTAAATGAAAGCTTGTGCCATAATACTTATCACTTAGATCTGTTACCACTAGAGCGCAGCGAAGAGCTAAAAAATAAGGGATGCTGAACATTTATGTATACACAAATGATTCAATGATCTTCAAATCTATGCTAATCATTTGTATACTGCTTTGAATATAGCCAAGGTACATGGTGAGCAATCATGGTTACTTTCAACAACTTTCCTCATGCAAAACTTGGGGTCAGGAAGATTTTTTATTTTGAAAGAAATTCATACTTTTTTCAGCAAGGATGCATTAAATCGATCAAAAGTGACAGTAAAGACATTTACAATGCTACAAAAGATTTCTGTTTCAAACAAATGCATTTCGTTTCAACTTTCTATCCATCAAAGATTTGATTTAATCAGAGACATTAAGCAGCACAACTGTGTTCAACATTGATAATAATCAGAAATGTTTCTTGAGCAGCAAATCAGCATATTAGAATGATTTCTGAAGGATCATGTGACACTGAAGACTGGAGTATTGATGCTGAAAATTCAGCTTTGATCACAGGAATAAATTACATGTTAAAATGTCTTACAATAGAAAAAAGTGAGCATGAGAGACTTTCAGAAACACTAAAGTCTTAGCGACTCCAAACTTTGAACACTAGTCATCAGATGTGCACTGGACTCACCTGTAGTCCCCCTTGTTGTTTGACACCCGATCTGGTAAGCAGTATTTGGCAGAGCTCTCCAGAACCACGATGTGGACCGTCCTGGTGTTGTTGCCTCGACTGGTGCGCACACGACACTCCCAGTTCCCGGTGAATCCCGGCTGGATGTTGGAAATGGTCAAGGCGCTGTGAGAGGACAAATCAAATGAGAAAAAAAACTGTTGCTCTGGGAGAAAAGTCAAGATTATGAATTTAGTATGCAGATTTAATATTCATCAGTGTTGTTGTTAATTAAAACCAAAAGTAACAGCAAAAAGCTGGTGACATTTATATATATATATATATATATTAGTGCTGTTTAACGATTAATCGCATGCACAACCTACATTTTTCTTTCCTTTTAGAACAATACATGGCTTTTTTTTTTAAGTTCTGGCATTTTCCAGCACAATGTTGGTAGATCAAGTGTGAGTTTATATTTCATCGGTATTTGTATCGTCACGCTCCAAGGCAAACACTGCTCATAGTGTGATTCATGTATATCTAGTGTGCAGAAAAGCCATTCTGCAGTCAGTATTGGGTTTGGTATCTCCTTCACAGCTGGCTTCTATTACCTGGCTATTAAAGAGCAATTCTGCACCATGCTTTTCTCTATGTAGATGCCCTGAGTGGCATCAGGTTCCACCATCTTCCCGTCCTGATACCACAGAACCTGCATGTCCTCGTCCACGAAAGAGGCCATGCACTGAAACGGCAGGCTGTCTCCCTGGAAGACGATCTGATGCTGGGACGGAGTCATCTGGAAGGAGGGAAGCTCTAGAGGAGCGTCTAAAATAGAGAAGGGAGAAAATCAAAAGAGAGAGGAAGAAAAACACTGTGGTGAGCCACAGATGACTGCTATGTGCAAAAGCTGACATTAACGAGTGATCCGAGAGCAGTTTCATTGTAGTTCTTGCACAAGCTATGGTTACAAAAGTCCAAAATCAACATAAACGGGAGGCCTGAACTCAGGCTGAAGGTCTTTTATAGCAGGATTACTTTGGTTTTGGTGTTAACAACCTACCTAACCTTTGGTAGCTAACAACAACCAGGAAATCAATGGTTTTGAGCTTTTTTAACAACTAAACATGCATTTCTTTTCCACTATTAGCAACAGTGTAATTTTACTATAAAGGTTTAGAGATTTAACGTGCAATATGTCACAGGTCATGGAAAGCTATGGTCTGGTTACTCTTATCAGACTTCATGTTGCACAATGTCATTAAAATATAACAAAATATGGCACTTACACATTTAATCTAGTTTCTGTTTGCTAACAACACAGGCAAAACCTAACCTGTTTGCTCCTGTATGCAGTGTTGTTATTGTAAACCAAAAATAAAACTATTAAAAACTGAGTTCATGATTTGAAATAAAGTTGAAATAAAAGTTAGATGAAAAACCAAAATGAAATAGAAATGTTACCTTAGCAACTAAATGAAATAAAAAGAAAAGAAAAAACAAAACAAAAAAAAGCAAATTTTAGAAAAGAAAAATGTAATAAAGCTGAATAGATTAATAAAAATGACAAAAGCACACCACAAAATTACTAAAACCTAAATTAAGATTAAAAGGAAAACATATATCAGTAAATAGAAATACTATAATAGTGTGTAAATACAGTAATACTAAAATAACACTTATTGTCAGAACCTAATAAATGCGTTTAATAATTATGATGAGAACTATAATATATACACACACAACAAAATTACTAATATTAAAATTCAAAAATATATATAAAACAAAATTATAACACAACTAATCCTAAAATAATACTTTAAAATAAGCCTAAAAACTAATACAATACAAACAGCTAATTCAAAATATTCAAAATAAATACTATAAAAAACAAAAATAAAATAACAGATTATCTGAACCAAATCTTACGTATATTTAGTGATTATAATGAGAAATATATTTTATATATTTAAATAAATTTAAACAAATGATTTGTTATTAATCAACTTACATTTAAACATTTTACAAGAAAACAAAATGTAAAACAAAATATAAAGATATATTAAGAAAAATAAGAAAAGTAGATAAATAAAAGAAAGTGAGGTTTAGAAAATATCATTAGTTTAGTATAAAAACAACAGAAGTTAGTGGAAAATCTGCACTATGATAGTGAGTGTGTATTCTTACCACAGGTGAGTGTTTCGGGCCTGAGCGAGGTTATCAGCTGACCCTGTAGGGAGCGAGGGAACGAGCAGTGAGTCTCCTTCACCCCGATCACCTTCTCTTTGATCCAGACCACCAGCCATCGCAGGTTACAGTCGCACAGAAGATAAGGGCTATCAAACTCCCTAAAAATATATACAGCATGTTCAAAAATCATAAAAACTACAACAGAGTGTGGGTCAACGGATGCATTAAAGCTAGGTCTGAGGGTAAACTCTGGATGTCTCCTATCCAAGCTTAAACATGTTTGAAGACATGCCAAGTGTGATGAAACCTTATCTCAAGTGTTTAAGTAAACGAATATGAAGCTTGTGAACAACACAAGCACTAATCAGTTTTAATAAACAGCAGTCTGCTTTTTATTTTAGGTGTTGCACATGGCCATTTGTGCTTCCTTTGCAATTTTATGTGCAAATGATGCAAAGCAAAACAAAACACTTACAGTATTTTCAGAGAGCCGAGGCTGTCGAAAATCCCTTGAGACAGTGAAGAAAACTTGTTCTCCGAAAGGTTACTACAAATAAAAAGGGGGAATTAATGAGCAAAATGTACTATGCTAAATGGAAACCATAAAACATGTTACTTGAAATAAAATAAAATATCACTGAAATAAGACAAAATTATATATAAAATGTATATTGTATTTTATTATTTACATTAAAATATATATATATATATTGTATTTTTAAAATTTTATATTGCATTTTATTTCAGCTAGTTGCAACATTTCTCATTTTCATTTAGTTTATTTTGATTTACTAAAATAATAAAAATACTAACTATAATAAATATTAATGAAAACTATACAGAAATATAAAAAACAACAACTAAATTACTAAAACTTTAAAATTTAAATGAAAAAACTAATTCAAAATATGAATACAAAACTATAACATTATTACAAAGATACTAAAATAACCCTGCTTTGTTTTATTTACAACTTCAAAGAAAAAATAATAATTTTTACAGTGTAGTTTTATATTGTTTGAGTGTCTTGAAAGGTGCTGATAAATTAAATGGATTATTATTAATACTATTATGAAATATCTCACATTGCTCTGGACATCTGTGAAAACTGTGTTAAATTATTTTAATATTCCGTGGACAACTTTCTTTACCACTAGGGCAAAAGTGCCATATCTGTTGTCTAAAATGTCAAAAAAAAAAAAAAACGGGACTGTAATTCTGGTTAGGGTTGTGACGGTGAGGACATTTTCCCACCAGTTAATCGACGCGTGACAACACCGGTAATACCGGTATCACCGTGGGGGCGTTCCCTCTTTTCCTCGCTTTCCTTCGCTTTTAAATAGCTTGTAAAAGCGGCGTGCGCATTTTACTTTCACTTTCAAATAGCGGCAATTCGGAGTAAAGCAATTGTTCGTTTTTAGTTCGTTTGAATTTTCCCTCTTTTCATCGCTTTTAAATAGCTTAAAAGCGCCGTGCGCAATTTACTTTCACTTTCGAATTAGCAGCAGGTCAATTGCTTGAATGCAACAACAAAATACAATGTCAAACTCACTTTAGCCTATATATAAAACATAGAACTTTTATTAACAAAACAAATAAAAATACACCATGCTATAGGGCAGGCTATGCCTAATATAAAATAAATTGCGGCTTAATACCGGTAACACCGTCAGCACCGTCTATCGCGGCAAGCCTAATTCTGGTCCCATTTATTCAAGTGGGATCCATTAACATATTAAACTAAAAAGTCTCATTACAAACAGTTTATGTTTTCAATTTGTCCTGCACACCCTTGCCATCACATCTGTTGATCTGGTGAAATATGTTGAGTTTCAGCTGCTATCTTAATTGAAATGACTGGATCAGTTCTAATCTTCACCTTCAGCAGGTGAAGACGACGCTCACTGTTACTCTAGCAGCTGTCGCTGCGCTCGTGGGACGACATTGTTAACATACTCATCATCTAACAACACCTGTTACGAGCTTTAGCATTCTGTGAAGGGTAATCAGGCTAATGAGTCTCAGCCAAACACCACCAATGACATTTGTGTTCTCATCATCGCAATCTAATATGAATATCAGCTGATAAACAGACAGACAGATGGATGGACTGATAAGTGGATAGATTAGTATAAAGTGTGTGAAATGTGTATTGTTGGATTCATTTTACACTAAAATAATGTGAATTTGTGTTGTTATGAATGTGCCTTACAATACTTATAAACAGTGTTGGGCGCAACACATTACAAGTAACGGGAGTTACGTAATCAGATTACTTTTTTTTTCAAGTAACTAGTACAGTAACAAATTACTTTAAATAAGTAAAACCAGTTACTTTGTTTTCCCATTTACTGACTGACAGCTCTTCTGTTCTTCTTAGATTACTCTAGATTAAATGTGAACATGCATTTACTCAAATGCAAACTCAGAATATGACGCAAACCAGCAATTAAATGTTAAATAGCACAAATATCCTTCATGTATTTAATCCCATTTCTGTCTTTGCTGCTGACCTCCGATGATCCAATTCGACCATACTAATAAGTAAAACTTGTGAAAGGGCTTTTACATTTGACAAAAATATATTTTTTTAATATTAAAAACTAGAGGTCGACCGATAGTGGATTTTGCCGATACCGATAGCTAGGTTGGACCACACTGGCCGATACGTCAACTATCGGTGCCGATTAATCTGCAAAACCGATACATCAGTCGACCTCTATTAAAAACAAACAAGCAAGCCCAGCCCAGCCCAGATAAGAAAAAGTAACACAAAAGTAATGTGATGCATTACTTTCCATAAAAAGTAACTAAGTAACGCAATTAGTTACTTTTTTAGGGAGTAACGCAATATTGCAATGTATTACTTTCAAAAGTAACTTTCCCCAACACTTGCTTGAAAATAACCTACATTAACGGTATTTTAAAGAATTCTCCATTTCAAGTTCATATAGTAGAAAAAAAAAAAACATGACTTACAGTTTAACAAGGTTTGTGAGGCCTTTGAAGACGTCCACATGGAGGCAGCCGATCAGGTTTTTGGACAAGTCTCTGCAAGATAAAAAAAAAAAAGATAAGAGAAAGTGTTGTGTAAACTCATACAGGCACTGTTATTTAATATTTAAGGGTTCGAGTTTGCCGGAAAAGGGTACAATTCGCTTCTGATGTGAACGCAAAGGTACTAAATCACGGAAGTGAACCACTATTAATGACGTATGAATTGGTCAAACTGTGTATTTATGCGTTTACTCACTCGCTTTCTAACTAACTAAAACCGCTAATACACACAAACTACATACAATTTGCAACATATTTAGTCTAAATATAGCCTTCACACCTCAGGAGGAAACTGACAACAGATCTATCAAATTTATTATAATAATCTAACAATATTATTATTACTATAATTGATTTGTTTTTTTGGCCGTTGAGCTGTAAATGACACCATAACTGATTCCACTCTGGTCTTGAATGGTGTTATTTTCGTATTATTTATGTACAGTATTTATAGATATTTTGAATTAGCTGTTATTTTTTATTTTCCGAAATAATTTTTTAGTTCAAAATTGAAATTTTAGTAACTTTGTTATATGCACTTGCCATTTTCCTTAGCGGATTTTAATATTTCTCATTAGCTTTAATTTACGTTTATTTCAGTTTTATTTATTTAGTAAAAAGTTTAGTCATTTTAGTACTTCAAACTTATTTTATTTCAATTAGTTGCCAAGGCAACATTTCTCAAATTTTTAATTGAGGTTTTTTAAGCTTAAGATTTTCATCTATTAGTTATATTTTATTTCAGATTTATTTTGAATTAATTACACCAATAAACAATACATTTATACTAGGTTTGGTTTAAAACAACACGTGTCTTGACAGAGTAAAACCGCATCCATACAGCCATGTATAACTGCCTTTATTAAGCAAAACATCCCTTATAAAAACAGGAGGCACACTTCACCAAACACCAGTTAGGAAATGATCTCATCCTGCCTGTATTTTTTCAATACTGACAGCCAAACTACCATTGCATCCTAGACATAATTATTCCTGTCAATCTAGCAGTCGTTCCAGTCTTCTTCATACAGGACACAACATGTTTTTATGTCTCAACATGTCTCTAAACCCCATCTAATCACTCGCTTTCATGTCAAGCCACATGTTAAAAAAGACAGCACTATGATTTATAAAAAGCTTCATTCCAACATTCAAAAGCACATAAATGTGCTGTTGAGAAGTGCATGGGCATGAATATAGAATGACAATAAAAGAAGAAAAATAAGCATAAAAATGAAGCAAAAAGCATAAATGGTTTGAAATTTGAATGTAATGGCGAGTCCCATACTGTGGTTTTATCATTACCATAATACAAACCCTTTGTATGAACATGTATTTGACTCATGTGACTCACAATGGAAATGGAAGTGGCTATCATACCAGAGAGCTTAACAACAGCAGGAATGTGCGGCACGCGTTTTTGATAAAGCCCTTGCATGAATGGTTATTATTCATCGTCTAAATCATTATTTGTTGTGTAAAAGGTGAATGGTGGTCCTTTTCCCTTCTATTCCCTTATTGCTTACTTCTATCCCTTACTAATGGGCGACATGTTACATGATCCTTTAGAAATCATTCTGATTTGATGATTTGCTGCCAATTTATTATTGGGGTTCAGTTATTAATAATGGTTCTTATTATTATCAATCAGTTTTTGCTGCTTAATATTTTGTGTGTGTGTTGGGGGGGGGGGTTCACAGGATTCTTTGATGAACAGAAAGTTCAAAAGAACAGCATTTATTTGTAACATTAAAATTGTTTTTACTGTCACTTTTGATAAATTTAAAGCAAATTTGCTGAAAAAAAAAACACATTGATTTCTATTAAGAATAAACACACACACACCACAAACATTATGGTTTCTGCATAAACATTAAGTAGCACGATTGATTTCTGAAGGATCATGTGACACTGAAGACTGGAGTAATGATGCTGAACTCAGCTTTACAAAACAGGAATAAATTACATTTTTAAAATGTATTCAAATAAAAACAGTGTTTTACTGTATTTTTGGGCACATAAATGCAGCCTCTGTGAGCATAAGAGACTTCATTAAAAACGCTTAAAAAGCATAATGTTTTTAAACTTTTGAGAAGTACAGTATGATCAGGTAAAAAGTTGAAAAATTTGATACAACTATTGTTACATATTGGGATGTAACAACTAATCAATAAAACTGATCATTTATATTTAAAATAATAAAAAACTGAAGAAATTCACGAAGATATATATACAAATTTGATACTTAAACAGGAACAGACAGGTGAAGACTATTTTTTTTACAATTATGTTTTGTATGTAACCTCGTATAAAAATAATCTAAATAATATAATATTTATTGTTTAATATTTTAAATAATATAAATTATTTCTCCTTTTAAAGATTAAACCCTGACATTTAATTCTGTTGCAGTTATGAATATAATTATTTTAAAGTTGAATAAAGTATCAATAATGCTCAATCATGATCACATAAAACCGTCTTCTAGATAATACATTAAGATATTATCATCTCTCACACAATCATCTTCTCAAGCTAATAACTAATGAATGCATTTTGGTAATTAGCATCAGCAATTTCTTTTAAAGTTCAGGACACTTTGACATTTTCTCCTCTGGATTTGGCAAAGTAACTTGGGCTCTAAAACTGTGAAAATTCATCTTGTCTACTCTCTCTCAAAAGTTTGGACGACAGCGATTATTTTTCAGGGGAGCCGCATACTTCTCCATTTAGCCAGCCAAAGAGAAGTTTATATTGGCAAGGAGTGAGTCATATTACACGGCCGCGCCATACACGCGAACCCTCACAAGAGAACGTATATAATCGACCGCTCGCCATATATGCACTCCGCTTACTTCACTACACACAAAACACAGAACAAACTATCCTTTCTATCTCCAAGTCTCAACAGTTCTCTCTCTCTCACACACACACACACACACACACATACACAACTACTGGCATGTTAAAGTCGATAGCATCAGTCATGCTGTGCAGAGTGCTGTCTGGACAGCGTCCATCTGGAGTGAAGAACTGCAGAAAGATTAAGTCTTATTTCTGTGGCTGCACACACCCAACGGTGAAGCTGTTTTCACTGGAATCAGAGCATTTCCGCAACAGAGGTGTCAACCAGTGCTATTTCAGTACTACTTTTTATACTTTCATTGCAATTTTAGTTAAAATTTTAGTAACAGCAACAAAATGACCAATGTCAGGATTTCATCTTTAAAAATAATATCTATATCATTTATTCTAATAAAATAAATATTTATTATTTAATTACTTATATTTTTATATTATTTATAATGGAGAAAATGACGGGAAAAAAGAAATTAATGAAACAAATTAAGAAAACAAATAATTTTAACAAATATGTATTGTATGTAACCTGTTATTTAA